CAAATTTTCAAGTAAAATGCGTCCTCTGTTGTTGCATGTTGACAAAAGTTCCTCAGTCTCATTTGAAAGAAAGGATTAATTTAATGCATGCTTATGCCCTATGGTTTGGCATCACAGTTCATTTATTTCTGCCTCCATTTGACTTTTGGCATATGAAATTTGTTCAAAAAACTTGCCAACCATTATGTGAAACCGCTCCTTTTATTTTTAAATAAGTAGTTCCTAAAAATAATAGGACTGTTAAAATCCCTCCCTTCGTGCAGCCCTTCCAGACCCACTAAAATAGCAGCTCTCATAAAACAATACAAAAGCTAATCAATTTGCTGGTTAAGAAAACAAAGGAATGAAAAAATGTAGTAATCTAAACTTATCTACTTCAGAAAAATAAAAGTTGAACTTAATCATCAGCTTGCAGCTAACCCCTACTTCTACTAATACAGAACAAATCAAACGCAGCAGTCTAAACTTGGGGTGTAGAGAGGAACATCAGACTTAGAAAGCCACCTTCAAATGCTGACCTCTTTGCTAAAGCCAATGAAGGATATAAATATATCAGTTCTGAGATAACACCTCCCCATGCAAAACTGTCCTTCACACCCCTCCCCGTTCAGCAATTGGCGCATGTGTTTGGCTGCTATTGGTAAGGCCAGTCTGAAGCCATTAGATAAGAAAGCTGCTTTGTTATACTGAACCTAGATCAGATCTGTCACACAATGGTATTTGGCTCTTAAACATCCCTACTTTTACAAACCTACAATTAGATGAGGTCTCATTATTATTTCTTTTTCCAGCAAAAATAATTTCTAGCTCTTACGATTTTCAGAGAAAATGTTGACAATAGGCTCTACAAAGCAAGCAGAAATATCCTATATGCACACTTAAAAAGCACTGCAGAATCAGGGGGTATGATTTAAAAAACAAACAAACAAACAACAGACAGAACCTCTTCCAGAAATGCATATCATTAGCAACGTACTGGCTGGGAGATAGATGGATTATAATCCTCAGGGGCCACTTTGCTTCCCTTGCAACTATTCAGTAGCTAAACCTATGTAAGAGGAATCATAGAATGGCCTGAGTTGAAAAGGACCACAATGCTCATCCAGTTTCAACCCCCTGCTATGTCCAGAGTCACCAACCAGCAGACCAGGCTGCCCAGAGCCACATCCAGCCTGGCCTTGAATGCCTCCAGGGATGGGGCATCCACAGCCTCCTTGGGCAACCTGTTCCAGTGCGTCACCACCCTCTTTGTGGTGCCTCCTAAAGGAGGAAGCTGTATACAAAGCTCTACATTCTCAAGGGGAAGGGAGAGAAGTGGACACAAATGTAATATAACAACCCAGATTATCCAAATACTATGAAAAATGCAGAAGAGCACAACCTGGAAACTCGGACACCCAAAAGTGAAGTTCATGTGGGTCCTTAGATACTCAGAAATACTTTGGTATCTCTACCATGACTCCTCCAGTGCTCCAGATTTGTTGTCTTAACCATAGATGTCAACCACCCCCATTCAGATTTCCAGCCAAGCTCATAAAATGCCCGAACGAGAAGCAGAGCAGGTCTGCACAGAACCCAGTTCAGGTCCACCAGGACTTATTTCAGACACTGCTGAAAGCAGCTGTACTGCAATACTGGTTCTAGAAACAGCAGAGATGCGTTAGCATGGCACAGCACTTGAAATAATAAACTCATAGTGCTGAGCAGAATCTGCTATAGGCCAAATCAGGAACCTGTATAGCCACGACATTCTGCATCTGAAGAAACTGCCCAGAGAGCTGACTTGACTTTAAGCACAGCTCAACCGCTACGTGCATGTCCAATTTTTCCATCCTCACCAAGTTTTACACCCTAATCACCTCACTCCATATGACCAATCCTCCCTTTTCCTGATTGTTTATTGCTTTCTCTTGATGATTCATATCCATAGAATCAGAGTGGTTGAGGCTGGAAGGGACCTTTAAGATCATCTAGTTCCAAGCCCCTGCTACAGGTAGGGACACCTCCCTCTAGACCAGGTTGCTCAAAGCCCATCCAGCCTAGCTTTGAATGCTTCCAGGCAGGGGGCACCCACAGCCTCTGTGGATAACCTGTTCCACTGTCTCACCACCTCACAGGAAAGAATTTCTTCTTTATATTTTGTCCAAATGTACCCTCTTCCACTTCAGAACTATTCCCCCTTGTCCTGTTGCTCCATGCCCTTCTAAAAAGTCCCTTCCCAGCTTTCCTGTAGGCCCTGTTCAGGTACTTGAGGGCCTCTATAAGCTTTCCCCAGAGCTTTCTCTTCTCCAGGCTGAAGAGCCCCAGCTCTCAGCCTGGCTTTGTAGGGCAGGTACTTCCAGCCCTTTGAGCATCCTCATGGCCCTCCTCCGGACCTGCTTCAACAGCTCCATATCCTTCTTGTGTTGGGGACCTCAGAACTGGAAGCAGCACTGCAGATGGGGTCTCACAAGAGCAGAGTAGAGGGGCAGAACCCATTTTACAAGCTTCCTCTAAATGCTCATGATAAGGCTGCACACCATCCAGCAGTGCATGCTTCAACAGCAACTGCCATAGTCCAAATAAGAATCTCACCTTCCTTACATCTACACTTTTACATGTCATACAAATAGCGAGAGTGCTCAGAGACTTTTGCAAGAACAGATAAGATTCTGAAAATGGTGTAAAGATTAAGAGACATGAGTAACACATGCCAGTATTCAGAACTCCAGCCACAACCTCACCTTGCTCTAGAAAGCTACTAAATGGTCAGACTGACTGAGAAGTACTGACAGTTAAGAACTCAAATTTCAGTTCTCAGAGCTTTAATTCCATACTCACAACAGACTGTTCTTTTTTAGACTCCTATGTAGCCTCTTTGTGGAGACAGTTATCACCTGCAGTCATACAGGAACTTCTAAGATGTCACAATCAACGTAACATGAACGAACTTTCCAAGTGGAAAACGTATTAAGTTGTATAGAATGATATGCATTAACTTTGCAAGCTGTTCCACACAGATTGCTCTGGTGAGTAGTCCAAACTAACTTAAGTACCTGAAATCAGGGCCTTGGAAAGTGCCTTTACTGTGAGAAAACTTTTGGAGCTTCTTGCATAGCATTAGAACATGTCCTTCTTCCTCCTGCAAGGTAAACTTGCCATTTACACTTTTTTTTTTTACAGCTCAGAAATATGCTCTTTTTAGAGCTAAAAAGCTCTAAAAAGCAACAGATACTAACTTTAAGAATCTCCTTACACAAAATCTGTTAGAAAAAAAAAAACCAACAAAAACTATTACATTTATTTCATTTCAGCAGTCCTACTCATATGACTGGCAAGTCTTATCAGCAATGGAGTTCTGAAATTATCAGCCAGTGATCTGTTAAAATTGCTGTGCGCCGCAGGGTTCTAGTAAGGCTTAATAAACCTTCTTACAGGTCTGGAGCACTATATAAATTTTGTCAGAGTTGCTCTGGCATAATTGGTAATACAAACTGTCTGGCTTTGTGGATGTTACAAGCTCTGGCTCCAATCCTGCTAACTCTTACGGAAGAATTTAACTTACTGCACAGAACTCAGTACTCGTGCATAAATTAAGTATATTTGTAAATATTTACACAGTATGGACATCTGTTGACACAGCCAGTCATCTGATAGAGGATTCAACTTAAATCCTAGTCTGCAGGGAAAGGAATTCCTCACTTTTAAATTCCTTTCTTAGGCATCAAGTATGTCAGTTCCAAAGGCTGGAAGTGAAAAGCTACAACCTGAGGAAGAGAGGAGTCAGTGAAACCATAACAATTGGTTCTGTTGCTCTTGTAACTAGAGCAGTCCGCTTTCTCAGTTCCCCCAAGGCGGAGCCCCTGCCTGGTTTCCAATCCTTGCAGAACCAAACTCATGCTACACCTTCCCTCCAGGGGTGCCATTTAAAGCATTTCTCACATCATCACAGACACTTTCACAAAGCTCATAAAAATACTCCCGAGAGCTCCTTCTTGTTATCAGGTTTGGTTGAAATTAACACAAGAGTTCAAAAATTTTGGGTCAAAGAAGAAATAGGCACAGTACAAAGCTGGCTCACAATTGGGGAAGTTTCACTGCCTTTGGAAATCAAATTAGTAAAAGGGCATTTAGCAAAATGCTTCCTTGCTCTGTGTCTTGGAGAGTGAAATAGGTCGTGTTCAAACATCATCCATAACACTACAACCTTTTGTGACTTGTGAAGTTAAAGCCTTAAAATCTGATACCAGCCAGAAGTGAATGTAAAAGGGGGAAAAACATCCAACAACGCTTACTAAATGCCAAGGGAGAGAAGCCAAGACAGCCATGTTTACAGCCCACGTACAGTGCAAAATTGTTTTTAGTTGGGAGGAAGCCCTAAAGGCCACCTGTTCCGGCTCCCGTGCAAAGAGGGCCACCTCCAGGGTGCTCCTGGAGCCCCACCCAGCCTGACCCCGAACGTCTCCAGGCATGGGGCATCCACCACCTCTGGGCAACCTGCGCCAGTGCCTCATCACTCCTACTCTAAAAAACCTTTTCCTTATTCTAAATCTGCCCTTTTAGTTTGAAACCATTTCGGCACGGCAGACCCTGCTGCCTGTCCCCTTCCTCCTTACAACCCCTTCAGGCACTGACAAGCCGCTCAGCTGTCCTGAGGGCAGCCCCAGCTCTCAGCCTGTATTCCTAGGACACGTGCAGGCCTTGCTGCCCTGCATATAGAATGCTCAGAAAGTACAGAGACCTCACTGCCGATGAGGGTGAATGTTTCCCAATGAGCTTGTTAACAAAACTGAGGCACAGCACCGCCTGCCAACTGGGACGGCCCTACCACCACAGGGAACAAAGCACCTCGCTGCGGTGCGGGATTCCGGGGGTCCTCTCGGGACTTCGTGTCACAGAACCGGGGCCGGCTGCACGCCTCAAGGCACTCGCCTCCTGCCGAGCTCCGTCAGCGGGATGAGGCGGGCGAGCAAACAGCGCTGCGGATGAGCCCGTCCCGCCTCGGGGCCCCGCGGGGTTACCTGGTGCAATGAGCACCCACCGGTCAGGGTGCGCGCCCGCGGGCCGCCGCTCCGCGCCGTGCATGCTCCTCCACCCCCGCCGGCCGCTCCCGCCGCCGCTCCCGCCGCCTCCACAACATGGCGGCGGGGGCGGGGCGGGGCCGGCACGAGGAGAAGCGGGAAGGAGCACCGCGCGCCCCTCCACACGAGCGCCGCAGGGCACCGCGCCCGGCGGCAAGAAGGCACCACCTCGCGGGACTCAGAGGGGGAGGGGGAGCTGCGGCGGCTGCGGCGGCTGCGGCGGTGCGCATCACCCGCTCTGTCCCCCCTCCTGCTTGGGGAGAATGGTACGAGCCGCTGCAGGCGGGGCGGACGGCGGCAGAGAGGTTCAGTGTCGTCCCACCGTGCGGCTTTCGGTCTTGGGGCGCGATCGTAGCTGGTAAGTTCTGTCAGGCAGAGGCGTCCTTCTCTTACCGCTGCCCCATCGCACGTTTTGCTTATGGAGGACGGTCGGGCGGCCACGGCTGCCCCGCGCCTGCTGCTGCCTGTCTGTGCTGAAATAAGGTCTTCCCTGCGGCTCCTCCAGCCTGAACAATTCCAGTTCTCTTACCTGCTCCCCATACGACTTGTGCTCCAGACCTTCACAGCTTCGTTGCCCTTCTCTGGACACGCTCTAGGGCCTCAATGTGTTTCTTGTAATGAGTGACCCAAAACTGAACACAGTACTCAAGGTGTGGCCTCACCAGAGCTGATACAGGGGGATGATCACCTACCCGCTCCTGCTGGCAGCACTGCCTCTGATACAAGGCAGGATGCCACTGGCCTTCTTGGCCACCTGGGCACACTGCTGGCTCATGTTCTGCCAGCTTTCAGCTAACACGTGTTAAAGCCCAGACTGGACATGGCCCTATCAAGCTGCTGTCATTGGCCCAGCTTGGGGGTCCTGGTGGACGAGAAGCTGGACATGAGCCAGCAGTGTGTGCTTGCAGCCCGGAAGGCCAACTGTGATCTGGGCTGCATTAACAAAGGGGTGGCCAGCAGGGAGAGGGAGGTGATTGTCCCCCTCTACTCAGCTGTTGTGAGGACCCATCTGCAGAACTGCATCTGGGCCTGGGGACCCCAGCCCAAGAAAGACTCAGAGCTCTTGGAGTGGGTCCAGAGGAGGGCCACTAAGATGATCAGAGGGCTGGAGCACCTCTCCAATGAGGAAAGGTTGAGGGAATTGGGCTTGTTTAGCTTGGAGAAGAGAAGGCTCTGGGGAGACCTCATTGCAGCCTTCCAGTACTTGAAAGGAGCATATAAACAGGAGGGGGAATGGCTGTTTATGAGGGTGGACAGTGATAGGACAAGGG